CCCCCCCCCCCCCCCCCCCCCCCATCCTCCTCCACAACAGCTCTGCGGATCCAACGTGATGGGGTTTTTTTGCGGTCTTACCGACCAGAACACGTTCGCCACGAGGGAAACCTGGGCACGGTCAGAGTCATTAGCACATGGGGACGGAGCTGCGGACATGGGTCAGAGGTCAACAGCGACATGACGGGAATCGGCGGGTCGGAACGGCGGCCGTGCGCCACAGCCTATAATCACAGCAGCGCTGGTCCCTGCCCCTAAATGGATTTAAGTGTCACACTGAGAATTACATAATACCGCGACAGCTTATTATTCAGGGTGCTGAAAGGATCCCTTCGTTCAGATTTAAGGGGCCACACGGCCATATAAACGGTGAGGGGGGATCTCACTCTCCACAGGGCCAGATATAGGATCCGTTAATCCCACCAGGTCACACTCCCTATGGGCTGACGACTGCGGCATGACCCCCCCCCCCCCCCCCCCACACTAATAATGCCACTTAAACTCGTTCCCTTTCCTGCAAAGTAATACTTGTCAGCTCGGTGTTTGACAAGCGATTATTAAGGAGATGTGAATGTCTGCACGCTTCCCACTTGGCTCGCCTTTAGTCAATCAATTACAGCACCCTCCCCAGGCATGAATTCATAAACGTCTGCACTTATCTGTCACCAAGGTCTCTGTTCCCTTCCTGCTAACGACTCATTTCATATCTGCAAGAGCTCCTGTTTCCCCCCAACATCAGAACGAGGGGGAACAAACTTCACATTCACGACGGACTCCCAGTACCAAACCAGTTTATTTAAAATTCTGAGCTTCCCGTTACATTCCCACATGTCCTCATACTCCCGTTAGCTGCCTTTAACACTCTAACCTGGAACCAGGGGATTTTTTTTTCCAAATTTCAAATATATTTATTGCGAAGCACTGTAACGGCATTCTCTAACTAGATTAAAGCATCTGGAACAGACATAAACACATACAGAATAACAAAGACATCATGGACAAATAGGTGATCTGAATCTTACATGCAATATGATGGGGAAAAAAAGCCTACAAAAACACAGAATCAAGCAAAGTAAAAATCAATCACATCTCACCCCCCCAGGAGTACTGGGACAGGTTTGCCCCAGGCACACCTTTTGCCGTTTCAGTTTCTTCACCCCCATCCCTCCCCCCACACTGAAAAGGCACCTCTATTTTTCATGTTTCCCCATTGCCCTCCAGCACCCATTCCATCCCTCCTCCTTCCTCTAATAAACTAGCCGCTTGGAACCCTGACCCAGTGACTCATGGTGAGATAGCATGTCATGTAAACAGGCTACGCACATTCTCATGTAAACGCATATTAAACTCCCACTGATCCCCATCCGAAGTGTCAGTGTACCAGCCAAGATGAACCAGTTCATTATCAGGGTGACCAGCACATGGAGCACAGTTTTCCCCAGTATCCAGGACTATAAATCCCACACCCCAGAGGAGGTAGCGTCGTTTCCAGCTGTCATGGAGGTCCTAAGAGAAGTCCGATGCGCCTCAGTAATAAATAAAGGCAGTAAAATGGTGAGACTTTGGCGTGCCACCCGGCAGCCTTTCCGGTCCAATACGTTTTCCCTGCCTGTGCCATGGTATGGTTTTCCCAGGAATGCCAGGCATCCATAACGGCACCACATGGTCCGGGAGAAGCGTTCACAACTAATTGTCTCCAGCGCGGAGAAGAAACACCGGCATGCGCGCCCCCCCAGGGAGAAAACACCAGCGCATTTCCATGCAAATGTGGGTCTTTAGGCTGACGTGCTCCCCCCAGAGGGCACTGCTGCGCCGGCGGGTGGAATTTGTAGGTCAGAGACGGTTGTCAAGCCGCGCGCTGACCTTTGCGGCTCTCCTTGTGTACCAACATAAATCAATTCTTGCCGAAACGTAAACACCACCCCCCAACCCCCTCCCCCAACAGGTAATTTCTCCTCAACAAGCAGCGTGCACATTGAACTCTCCTGTGCAGCTCGTCTGAAATTAGCAGTGTCTGCCTAATTAATTCTACTTTTGTCGGCGGGGCCGAGCGTGATCTCCCCGTGCGTGATTAGCCATCAGATTTAAAAGGAAAACAATATCCATTAGTCTACAGCATTACCTTTGTTATGCGAAAAAGTGTTTTTCCATTAATCTAATTCCTCAGGCACTGTCCGCAACGTGGCAGTGATATCTCTTAATTTCGAACCAAATGCAAAGCAATCAACGCGACGTCTGGCCGCCGGATTGTAAAGCGAATAGAAAATGCAGGGAAAACATTTTAATGGATCTCGATACACGAGTAATGGAAAGAATTCTTTAACTAAAGTGGACTTTAAAGATACTTCATGAAGCGATTCAGTCAGAGCTTCCATCTCTGAAAATGCCGACACTAAATCATACATGCAAAAGCACATGCAGACACCACTACACACGATTGCGTTCATATCTTTGTGGAGACTCTCCATTTATTTCTATGGGAAACACTTATCCCATCAACAACAACCTTAACCCCTAACCGGCCCTAACCTTAACCATAAGTAACCAAACAAAATACAAGGCTTTTGGCATTTTTAGTTTTTGATTGCTGTTACAGATTTTTATAAAATTGAGTTTCCCCTTGTGGGGACCAAAAAGGTGGTCCCTATAATGCCAAAACAACAGGTTTTTAATCACATTGTGGGAACATTTGGTCCCCATAATGTCATATATACAGTACATGACCCACACAAACACACACACACATACATGCATACATACACAAGTACCAGCATGCAATCCGGCTGTCCTCAAAAGGTCACATTTCCAGGGAAATGGTGTCAGTGTGCCGCACTGTAATATTTATCGCATTAAAATGTGGTAGAGGATCGACAGACTGAATCACAAGATCCTCACAAGCATTACCGGATGCATTCCAGCGGTGCGGCGGTCATGAGGGCCAGACTGGGGCCCATCTAAAGGCCCCTGCATATGCGGCAACATTACGCACCATTATAAAGCCACTCGACCTGTTGGTTATGAAAAGCAGTGTTCGTTTTCACTTCGAGTGTGATTCAAATGAATTAAATTACACTGCTGTGAAATTGCCCTTTCTATTGAATCAGGTACAACAATAAGACAAATATTGGTTTTCACAAGCCGATGGCTGACTGCATACAATATTCTGTGCATCGTCCCCAAGGCCAAACTCATTACTTTGCAGTAGCAGCAGAGCCTGACTTTAGCACACTGTACTGTTACAAACCTTCTCATTTTCTCAGCTATCCTCACTTCTGTAGCTCCTAGACCCAGACTCAAGGTGTCCAAGCAGGGGAATAAGCCACAGAGACGTAAAAAGCACAGGGCACTACAAGTCATGTCCTTCCATTTGGTGAACAAGAGGTTCTTCTGCATCTTTGAGGTTCCCTCTTCCCTGCGCCGGTCCATGTTAAAAATGTAAGGAAGAGGGAGAGAGAACCGACCAATGAGACGGGTAAAAATGATAAAGGAACCAACCTGAAGGCATCCAGGGGTCGGATGACGGCCGCTCTTTGGTGTTGGCCTGCTCCCAGTCGAAGTCGTCATCTTTGCTTTGGCTATATCCACACGTGGTGTAAGACTTCTCAAAGTCGCAGTCACCTGTGGCCAAAGCAGAGAGAGCATCACTGAACAGTCACTGAACTCAGGGAGATTCCAGTTAACGGCGGTTTGGTAGCGACAGCATGCAGGGTATCTGCAAAACGCGAGTGAGGAGGAACGTGGGAGAGACCACACACCACTTTTACTGCACTCATCGGCAATCTGTCCATACGGTGACAAGTTCAGCAGTCAGAAACAACTTAACTGTCGAGTTTCGAATGAGCAAATAAGCCAGAAAAAGGCAGGACTATTCTATCAGAGTTCCCCCAGTCATGGGGCAGATGTCGCCTCTCTCATCAGCCGCCTGTCATCCGCGGGCGTAACTTCATTATTAAGGTCTGTGACGAGTCCGGATGGGCGCGTGCAGCAGGAGGAATCCACTCGCTGTGCACGTGCCATCCATCAGTCAAGCTGAGCAGAAACACACCCGGTGCCTTACGTCACACCAAAATATCCAGAACACAATGCAAGTTTGGTGAGTGGTGGGTTAGGTCTTTGTGCCTACAATCAGAAGGTTTCCGGGTCAAATCCCAGGCTTGGTGGAAGAATCACATCGCCATCAGGCCCTTAAACAAGGGCTTAGAACCCTTCAAAATGCTCCAGAGATATACAACTGAACCAGCACTCGGACTCTCACTTCACTCTCACAAAGGAGAGGAAGATGGGAAAACAGATGAATTCCAATGTACCAGTACTCGTACAAATGGCAAATAAAGATAGTTCTAAGTAAGCTAACACACAAAGGCCACGGGGAATGATGAAGCGCGGGCCACCTTCCATCTGAGTCGATATCAATGCATTGATCACATATAAAAATTCATCCTTTATATTCCAGCATAGTCAGGAAACCTCTTCGTCAAAGCTCCCATGGGGGGAATTCTCCTCCGGCAACTGGACGCTATGTGATTCCCTCAAAAAAGCAGAGCAGAATGTATTTAGATATGCCACAAACAGTTTGTCACCTTGTCAGGGCCTATGCGTGTGGGGGCTATGTAATTTACGCAGTTATTTTTGCACGCCAAAACAAATCTGTCATCACCTATATGCCGGCAACGACGCTGTGACACAAAGGCTCTGAGCCACGTCCCTTTATTTTCACTGACGCGTCAGTCATTCGCGCGACGACATTCCGAATTAAAGGGCCATTTCAAGCAGCTATGCGACTCTAGTCGATTTGGCTTCCCAGACAGAAAAATAAAGCTAATTAATATAGCTAATTAAGATCAGGCTAGTGATCCATTTCTCTTCTGGACAAGCATTAATGACACGAGTCTGTTGTGTGGAATGATAATGACTGTTTACGTTTCATTCATTGTTCACATCATGCCGTGAAGATTGTATCAGTTTTATTAGCGAAGCAGTTGTGAAGAAAGGCTCTACTTGTATTTCACTCAGTTGGTGAGCTGCGTAGGTCTACGTCAGTGGACTTTGACGATGTGTGATGATGTCAGTGGTGCAGCCATGTGGAAAGTTTGGCCGATACTGTTAACAGATTCGTTTTTGTGAAATATCACTAATATCGATAACTGTGATAACCGGCTAACTTCTGAGCCATGTTCGATGGTGCTGATTTGCACAATGACGTTATTCTCAGTGGATAAAGAAAGCTTGAACTGTGGGCCGCATTTAATAATGAATTCAAAATACTTAGTGGGCCGTAATCAACTGCATTATTTTAGTAGTTGTGTCTTTAGCGCCGGTGCTGCTAACTTTGAATACTGATAATGTTTAAATATCGGTAAAGACTGACACACCGGACCAATGACGATGTCTTGATTTTTAACAAACGTCGGCCATTGCCGATATGTCAGCCAATATATTGGGCATCTTTAGTCCTCTCTCCTACAGCATCCAGGGTATTCCAGATGGAATTCACACAAGGCTCCAGCTACTTATTTTACCTCAAATTAACAAACCCAGCAGCAGCAGAAGTAACCCGGTTAAATCGATTTGAGTCCAGCGAGGCCGATGGATGGCCTTGTTTCTCTATTTGGCTGGATCCTACTGCCAGGGGCCCACCAGCCGTGGTCCATGGGCCCCCCAGTGCAATGGGATAAAGAAACTGTCCCCCCCCCCCCCCAAATCAATAGCAGGCGTGTGGTGCGTTCTGAGTCAGCAGGATGGCTGGGACTTGCCAATGCGGTGTACGCGTTATTTATTATAAAAGGGGGCTCACTGCTGCCCTAATCCTGCCCCAATAGCATCGATACGCACAAACCTGCGGGCTTAACTATCTTAGCGATATCAGTAATGATGCAGAATCCTGTGGAGGGAGGGGGGGTTAAAAAGAGAGAGATCTTTTCCAGCTCAACGAGCTGTCCTTCCTCGTTAATTGGAAACGCTTGTTAGTTTTATTTAAATAATTACCCAGGAAGAAGTGACAGGTTTAAATCCCCCTGTGGAGGCGCCCTCCATCACAGGCATCTCACGCCGCCAATCACGAGCACCCGTCATGCCACTCCAGGGTTACGATTCCCACGCGATGTGTCTGCATCTAAATGAGCATCAGCTGTACACACTTCCATCATTCATCCGGCTACGTCGCGGATCCCCCTCTCCTCTGGCTTCCATATCCCACATCGTTAAGTGGATAGCCAGGGTCACAGCTATACTTAAGATTTTGTCATTTCTTTCCACTCTTGTTTTATCACCTTAACCAGTCGCAGAACAGACCAAAACTTAACATGCAATTAGCCAATTGAATGAGCCCACATAATGCCCAACTTGTAAAACTAACTTTGATTGGACTACAAAGAAAAGGCCTTTCCCCGATAGGTCCTCTGCTGACACTGGACCATGTGACACTATTATACTCAAGCTTAGCAGCACATCAATAAATCTCTGGGGTCGAGAGTGTCGAAGGAACCCTGGGCAACCTCCCAGCAGGATGGGGGGGTGGAATACGTGGAAAAAATCAATAATGCACGTGCTGACAAACACATTGAAAAAACATATTCTTTAAATTTTAGGTGGTGGGCTGCTTTTCTCAGTGGAAAGAGTATGCTCATTGGAGTTTTACTTCACAGAACACACAATGTTCTGAGGTAGAAGGAAAAATGATTGGTTCTCTCTCTGAACCAATCAGATTGTAGAGGAGGTGGATCCAAGCAACTAGAAGAGGCAGGATTAACCAAATCAGATATCTGGGTCCTGACTCTTCTAGTTGCTTGAACCCACCTCCTCTACAACCTGATTGGTTATCACTCTGAACCAATCATTTCTTCTGCCCTCAGGACATTTTTGAATAAGTAAAATTCCACAAGCAAAGAGCAGATGGACACCATCAAAAAGCATCACTGAGAAGGATGCCTTCAATGCCAATGTCCAGGAAGCGGTAAATTTAAGCAGTGCGGACGGTGACTTTAATAGACACCCTAATAAAACACTGAAAAGCACTTCAGCTTTTTTCGCTCTGTTCAAGGATGGGCTTGGGGGGTGGGGGAGTTTCCAGGCAAAAACCACCCCCCATCCCCGCAATCGATATGTCCTTCATGTCAACGGTTAGCTTTTCCTGCAAAACAAACACAGAACCAAAGCCCAGCAAAGGAATATGTGGTGTTTATAATTTCAGGCGAAGCCTTAAGATGATCATCTGGCATGCAGAGCATTTAAAAGAAATCCATCGGCTTTTAATGCATTGAGCCAGCAGCCTGAATCGTGCCTCTCCCTAAATTATGAAAGCAATTTTGGCTAAAGTCAGGCGTTTCTTTTTAAAAGCTTTCTGTATTGTGCTCTTGTGCTGAAGAAAAATAAATAGTGCTAGTTGGATTTGCAGACCTGCGGCAGTAAGCCCTATGATGACCATTAAATATTTTATCTAGATATTCTACCCAGAACAGAGCTGTAATCATATATCCTTAAAGATATTCTACAAAAAGCAGAGCAGTAACCATATTGCCTTATATTCTGCACAGAAGAGTAATCATGTGACATTCTAGATATTCCGTGCAGTGCAGTAATCATGTCAACTTCTAGATATTCTACGCAGAGTAGAGCAGTAGTCATGTGTCTCCTTCCATATATTATGACAAAACTACAGTACCGCTTTAAACATGCGAAGTGCGATTGTTCAGGCTGTCCTCCTCCACAGCCATCACGCCACACTGTCACAACGCTACTGAAGACAATAAAATATCTGAAGTAGGTAGCGAGAGCTTTTAGGATGTGTCTGAATCGCATACTTACACAGCAGGTACTGAATATGTTTACAGGTCGACTACTCAACCTTTAACGTAATATGTTTTATATATATACACACACACACACACACACACACACACACACACACACACACACACACACAAGGACATTACACATGCACCGACATAGTGCAATCACCATGGGCAGTGGCAAATTGATGGTTAGGGATGTGCACTTGTAATTGAAAGATTGCAGGTTCAAATCCCCGACCAGCAAGGTACCACCCCCAAGCACTGCTCCCCAGGCGCTGAATTAGCTGCCCCCTGCTGTGTGACATTGTCACATATGGATTAAATGCAGAGAACACATTTCTTTGCTGTGCACTGTGTGCTATGGTGTGTCAAGAATGACAATTAATCACTTAATTCTAAATTCTCCCAAATCACCTGACCCAGACATTGACCAATGATGAAGCTTGACCCCCGCAAAACTATCAATGAAAAAAATAGCGTCCATCGGTTGCACATGTCGGAATTTCGCAGAATGTAGTATGCCACTCAGGTACCATTCACCCGCCATCTCATCCATACTGCTTTCATCACATACATATTTCACCTACTACACAGCAAACAAGTATGCAATTCTGCACATACCCTTTCATTAACCAGACCAATAAAACAACATTATCAGCACCTCAAAACCTCAAGATCTTGTTCTTTTCCAATGACCATCCCACGTCGGCCCAGGTCCTGCCAGCCATAGGGGCTCAGAGGTCTGCTAGGGTTATGGATATCAGGGCAGGATTAGGATTAAGAATCTGCCCTGGACTTTAGGAACCTTAAAAAACCCACTATGCCAGA